TAATAGAGATAAAAATTATTGCAAGGATGAGATTTGCTCTTTAGAACTTTCTAGGAAAAGGCAACTTGATAGGAAGGTCCAGAAAGGACACATCCCATATCCTTCTTCCTGCTGGAAGAGGATGGAAGAGGATTCACCTCTAGTCACTTTTGACACATTTTCACTTAAGACTCCAAAAAGAGGTCTGGGGGCATCAAAATAAGCAAGTAGTAGTTTTGAAGGTAGCATCTTCAAGTGGTCCATTTCCACTGTAAGGCACTAGTGTGAGGGTCCTAACAAGATCCCCCAAGGTGCAGATAAACCTTCTGAGGCTCCCAACTCACCTAATGAGACAAGGTTGCTGTAATTCTCCAGCATGACATCTCTGTACAGGGCCCTCTGGGCAGGGCTCAGTTGTCCCCACTCCTCCTGGGTAAAGAGCACAGCTACATCCTTAAAGGTCACCGAGTCCTGTAACAACAAATCCATTCTCAATGACCAGGAGAAGCTGAGACTGGCTGTCCCAGGAACTCATGGAGATTATTAAGCACCCAAAGAACTGGTGTCCAAGGACAAGTTAACCATTTCTCCTGGGGGCTGAGTTTGGTCTGGACTTCATTCCCTACTTCGAAAAGACACAGATTGTAACGAAAAGACACAGATTGTAAAGAAAATGCTTCCTCAGCACTGAGACTACACTCTTGCTGTTCATTTTGCCCTCAGCATCTTCTTCCATCTCTTTCTTTGGCAGATTTGGAAGGCCCAGCCCTCCCCACCCCCCACCCCATAAAGCTAACTCTTACTGTGGTCTCAGCTTGACCATTCCTTCCTCAGCACAACCTTCCTTGACTGCTTTACAGTCACCTGTATGGGTCCATCAAAGCGCTGGTCCATTTTACTGAGTTTTGGTTTACTTTTGGCTCCCTCACTGGACTGTTAACTCCAAGAAGGTAAGGAGCAGTGCTCTATCTCCCTTGTCTTCCTAGAATCAACATGGCTAGTGGACTCAGCACCTATTACAGTCATGTGTCACAAAACGATGTTTCAGTGAATGACAGACCACATCAGGTGGTGTCATAAGATTAAACTGGAGCTGAAAAATTCCTATTGCCTAGTGAAACCAAAGCTGTTGTAAAGTCTTAGCATAATGCATTACTTCTATGTTTGTGGTGATGCTGCCATAAGCAAACCTACTGTGCTGCCAGTAGAAAAAAAGTATAGTGCATACAGACAGTAGATTCTGAGAGTAAACAATTATGGTACTGGCTAACATGTGTTCTATGCTCTACTTCTAAATCATTATTTTAGAGTGTATTCCTCTTACAAATAAAAGATGTTTACTGTAAGGTAGTGCCCTATGTTATAGTGGCAGAAGCCTAACGTGTCCTTTGTTTTCATGACTCTCTTGAGTGCATCAAGAGGCCATATGGAGTGATTGACCTAGACCATGTAGGTTTGCATATATACCCTATGGTGTTCATACGAGGATAAAATCACCTAATGATGCATGTCTCAGCTCAGAACGTGTTCACATTGTTAAGTGATACATGACTATATTTTCTTTTCTTCAACTGCTCATTTGCCCATCCTCTACACACACATACCAAGCCCAGAGAAGTAGGGTCTTTTGAAAAATTTCATTGGTACCCAATATTCATCTGAAGTAAACAGCCAAATGACATCTTAAATAAAACGGAGTCCAGTTAATCCCACCTCCCCAGGTAAGGGTTCTGGTTCCTCCCTTCTCTTAGTTTCTGTGTCAGATGCTGTCTTCACCACGTTAGACCCCTATACTTACCTGTTAGTAGCAAAAGTGCTAGTGGAAAGGTTTTCATTTCAGACCAACTTGGATTCCGGTTCCAGTTGTGACACTTATGCAACCTTTAGCATGTTACTTAGCTCTGACACACACACACACACACGCACGCACGCGTCCCCTGGAAATAGTCATTCTGCTCCATGGGACCATGTCCCATCTGATTACTAGTTTCTTCCTTGGAAACTCTGAAACAGGACAGGAAGGAAACATTCTCTCTCAAGTAAATGCAAAACTTGGCAGTTCTCACCGGTCTGGTCTTCCTAGTTGACTGAGGAGACAAGGAGCTGGAATACATTGAGAAAGACTACTTCCATAGCCAAAGCCCAGCTGTACCTTTGCCTTTTGATTTGGGAAGATTCCTCTCTATCTTTTCTGGTAAATGCTTGCTTTAGCTTAAGACAGATTCAATTAGGTCCCTGTTGCTTGTATTCAAAGCCATGGTACATGGCAGGGAGCCAAGAAACATGGTTGAACTGAACCATGAACCAATTTATCAGGGACTATTGCTCACCTTTGTATTTCTAATGTAATACCTGGCATATTTTGCATCCTTAATTTATGTCTGTTGAATGGCAATCAAATTAAGGCAGACTATAAATATGAGATAATCTGGGTAACACTGTTGTGGCTTAGATATGATTTGTGCCCAAAGGTTCATGTGCTGGAGGCTTGATCCCCAATGTAATGGTACTGAGAGGGGGTGGAACTTTTAAGATGTGGGGCCTAATGGGAGATGATAGGTCACTGAGGCACCACCCTCAGAAGGGTGGGTGTGGGTTAGTCTTTTGGTTATTATGAGCAGTTGTAAAGTGAATTTGACTATCTTGGTATTCTCTCTTGCTTCCTCTCTCACCAGGTGATATATATCCTTCCTTCCCTTTCTTCCCCCCCTTTCGGATGCCGTCCACCATGTTATGATGCAACATGAGACCCCTGCCAGATGTGGCTACTCAACCTTGAACTTGCAGCCTCCAAAACTGAGTTAAGCGAGAGGAGGAGGAGCAGTTTGTAAGCTGTGACTAGGTTAAACACTGCACCTTCACCCAGCTGTTCTTTGCTTATAGTGATTTCTGCCATACAGTCCTGCTAGAAAGCTTTAAATAGGAATTAGAACAATTTTATCAAATGCCTCAGCCCCCTTCAAAACAGAGTCTATACTCTATACTCTTATTCTAAAGAGGCTGGCACTGCTCAGCACTTTTTAGGAATTTATTGAACTTGGAAACACAGTGGGTTGTTTTGTTTTTTTGTGGTGCTGAAGCTGAACCTAGGAACTCCTACATGCTAGCCAAGTGTTCTACAACTGAGCTATACCCCCATCCAGAAGAAGTAGAGTCTTTTGAAAGATTTCATTAATGTCCAATATTCCTCTTAAGCAGACAGCCAAATGACATCTTTAAAAAATGGTGTTCAGGGCAGGTAGAGTGGCTTAAGTGGTAGAGCTGAGCAAGCCTGAGGCCCTGAGTTCAAACCCCCAGTACTATAAAAAAAAATGGAGTTCAGTAAATCCCACCTCCCCAGGTAAGGATTCTGATTCCTCCCTTCTCTTAGTTCCTGTGTCAGGTATTGCCTTCACCACTTTAAACCCCTAATCTCATCTACTCGTAGAAAGACTGCTAGTTGAGAGGTTTTCATTTCAGACAAACCTGGGTTCTGGTCCCAGCTGTGCCACTTACATGTCCTTTTGCAAGTTACTTATCACCAGAAGCCCACTAAGATGAGCTTAATATGGGGTGAGAAGGAGAACTGGTGTCAGATGTCTGGGGGGACTAGAGTAGGAGTAAAGTTCCTGGTTGGGGGAAAGAAACACCCTCACACACTTCAAACCTAGAGGACAATTTAGGGGGAAAGAACCCACAACACTCCTGCACTCACCTGGAGCATGGCTGGCAGGTGACTGACAGTCACTCCTTCTCTGATGAGCCTACTTATGGACAAAGTGCTGAGGATGCAGGTGGGGAGCTCTGCCACTGCAGGATTCTTCAGGCCAGAAGCATCTGCACAACTGTTAGGAGGAGAGGACTGGGTCAAAAGATCTCATTCAGCAGTGAGGAGCGAGACTGTGAGTATTTACATTCCAGCAGTTCTGCAAGTACCTCAATGCAACCACTTCTTTGGTCCCTATTTGCTCCCAAGTCTCTCCCGCTTCTGAGAGTACCTCTTGCCTCCACTGGAGGGTGAATCACTCACGATGCAACCTTTTCTCCTTTTATTGTTCGCTGGTCAAACCCTCCATGTCTTCTCTTCTAAATGTTAAGAACTTTGACTTTTGTAGGCCCAGTTCTCAAACTTTCTTTGCACACTCTGTCCTTCACCCTAAAGTTCTTTCTCCTGAAAAAGGAGGCGAGCTAAGTAGGCTAGGGTTCTCTGGCCTCAGGCTTCTGTTCACTGGGGCTGACTGGGCGACCTGGAGTCCAAGGGCAGGTGTGTATGTGTGTTGGGGGAAGGGGTAGAAGGTCAGGACTCCTCACAAACCACCCTCCCGCCCTCTGCCGCGTTGTCAGGTCCCCGGGAGAGAGCTGCTGCAGGGACTGCAGTGCGGCTGCCCCTGTCCCCGGCAAGCTGCTCACACAGACTCCGAACTCCACCGGGAATATACCTATCACCTGTGCGATGGGCTTCCTCCTCCACATGCACTCGGACCCGGAAGATGCCCATTTCTTTTTCTGTTCGGAATCAAATCTGAGGCATATATTCTGAGAAGTTTAGAGCATTAGACCCATGTCCTCCAAGATGAACCGCAACCCAGACCCTCCTCGGCTTTCCCTGCGTCCTTCTCCCCAGACCTGACCACCGTTCTCCTTTTACGGCGTTGGCTACTGTGCCCGGTTACCGCTGGGTCGCCCTTGAAGTAGCCTCGACCAGCTGCGAGTGACCGCAGCCACTACATCGCAGTCAGCACACAATGAGCCGGAGTCTGCAGTCTGGATCTGATGTGCGCTTGCGCGTTGCCCTGGGAACCGCGGAGCCGAAGTCCCACAAGTCCCTGCAGCGCTTAGGCTAGCAGGAGTCTTCCCAGACGGAGAATCTGAGGAGAAACGAGAGGGTGCGCCTGCGCAGGCAGAGCTCTGCAGGCAGCCCCTCCCCGGGCCAGCGGCGTTGGATATTAAACTACGTTTCCCGGGAGCCTCGGCGGTGGTGCAGCCGTATTCCCACGTGCAGCTTGATCCCCCCCGACCCGCTCACGCGCTAACCAGCCCACGCGGACTCGGTTCCGCCTTCTAAGGGCTCGGCCTTGGTCTCTACCTAGGAAGACCGCCCAGGCATTGCATAGAGCAGGAGAAGTTGTCACGCGGCGCCGGGTGCCGTGACGAACGCGGGCCGGGGAAGGTCCCCGGGGCCAGCCGAAATGGAATGTTGCCTACGAAGGCTCGAGAAGCCGGCGGCCCTGCGCCCTTGGCCGGGGGGAAGCATCCGGTACCCGATGCTGGCCCGCAGTCGGCCCAGGGCGTGGTTCCGACACGACCGGACTTTAGTTTGTGGGCCTGGGACTTTGGGCTGAAGGGCGGTAGTCCTTGGCCTCCGCAGCGAGTCAAGGCAGACCCGATGGTGGCCCAGGGAACCGAGGACCCTCAGGGCGGAGCACACGTAGGGCTTGGTAGAGGAGGGACGGGCCCTGGATGCCAAGGAGTCCGTCCCGGAAAGCTGGAGAAGCTGGTTTTTCATTTTGTTGACTGTTCCGCTGGGCCGGCGAGGACGAGGTGCCCTATGGGGACACCGCACTGGAGACAGTTGCCTTTGAAAATGTATTTCTTGGAGCTAAGGTTTTAACTTTCTTGTTGGTAATAAAAGTGACCTTAGGTTTGTCACTTAAGTAATTTTTAATCACCTTTTAGGAAGCATTGACAGTGACCGTGTGTCACTATAACATTCTATTAGGAATTTTATTGAAGATTTCATTCTCTAGTCACTTACGGAGCTCTTATGTGCCAGGCATTACTCTAGGTTCTGGAGAAATAGCAGAGAAAACCCTGCGCTATTGGAGTTTTAGTTCTACTGGGGGAGGCAGGCATCAAACAAATAGAAAATATTTAGCATGTAATCAGGTAATTACAACACAGTAAGGCTGTGCTGGGGGCTATGGGGCGAGGGAGTACCTAGAGATTATTTTACGTAACTTTGGGGGATGTTCTCTTTGAGGAGGTAACATCTGAACAGAGACTCAATACAGTAAGAGAGGAAACTATGTGCGTGTATGAAAAAATCCGCCAAGGGAAGGGAACAAGGTGCTGCCTGGAAAGAGGAGTCACTCGATGTATTTGAGGTTTAGGAAGGCCAGCATGACTGGCCAGGGCACAGTAAACAAGGGAGAGTGCAAGACAAGGTTGGGGTTATGAGAGGCCTGGGTTAATCTCTCTTGTGTGATGGGAAAACATTAGAAGGGTTTGAACCAGAGTGACATGGCTGATCACATTTGGACAGAATCACTGTCAGTTGCGGGAAGACAGCAAGGGCTGGGGCTGTAGCTCAGTGGCAGAGTGTTTGTCTAGAACAAATGGAGCCCTGGATTTAGTCGCCAACACTGCAAAACAAACACATAAACCACCCCAGATCACGGTGAGGTTGAAGGGGTACAGGGAACTAGATGGGATTTTGCAGCAGTTGGGGAGGGATAGCCTCCCACAATCACATTTTTTTTTTTAACAAGGCATTGGCTTTGAAAAGGTAGTGATTCTAGATTATCAAGGGTTCTAGATGCTATGCTACTGAGTTTAGATATTCTGTTTTCAGATATATGAGGATGACAATAGGATTTATTGAGTACAAACTTTCACAACTCAGAAACCAATTAGGTTTGTGCTATTAACACTTAAGGAAACTGAAGCACTATGTTGAATGCCTTCCTTGAGGTCCCACATCCAATAAGTGGAATCAGGAATCTTGCTCCTGCTGATGGAGCAAAGGTGTTATTACTTGGTGCCCAGGAGGGTTGAGAGATGTCATACAAGAGCCCAAAACTTGTGAAAAAGTAGCAAAACCTCCATTTACTTGGCTCATTTTTCCTGGGGCTGCTATAGTTTATTAGTCAGTAGCTCATGGGTACTCTTCCACAGCCAATCAAATACGAACAGAAAACCTCAAACTGAAGAGAAGCAGTGACAAGACTCATGTTAGGTTTACTATACCCTCTGGCTCTACCTAGGACTCACGCACTAGCTTAATTATTCCCAGTATTCACCTGGGCAGGTCCCACTTCTCTTCAGATTTTTATTAGGTTCCAGTGTCCTCAGAAAAAAGGTTAAAATATGGCTGGGAGAAACTGTTTGCTCTATTAATTATGGATAGGCAAATGACCACTTATACTGGACCAGGACCTATTGTCAAATCTGACTAAATACTCTTCTCAGGAGAGTGGCCATTTCCTACAAGTTCTGAATACATGTTTGCAGAGCCCTGAAACAAGACCCTTGCAGTAAGATGTAGTATCTTCCTTTAACTTCATTTCCTATCACTACTTTTTTTTTTTTTTGGCAGTACTGGGGTTTGAACTCAGGATTTCACATTTTCTAGGTATGTGCTTTACCACTCGAGTCACATCTCCAGCCCTTTTTTCCTCTAGTTATTTTGGAGATAGGGTCTTACTTTTTGCCCAGGTCAGCCTGGACCACAATCCTCCTATTTTATGTCTCCCACCATTGCTGGGATGAGAGGTGTGCACCTCCACACCCAGCAACACTCCTCCCCCTTGGGATGGGAGACTCACAACTTTTTTGCTCCATTTGGCCTAGAACTACAACCTTCCTGATTTCAGTTTTCTGCATAGCTTGAGATTATAGGCACAGATATTGGTTGAGATGGGGTTTCCCTAATTTTTTGCCTAAGCTGGCCTTGAACCAAGATCCTCTTGATCTCAAACTCCCAAGTAGCTAGGATTACAGGTTTGATCCATTGGCACCCAGCTCCTGTCACTTCTTAACTGCTACTCTACACTCACATACATGTGTATATATATATATATATATATACTTTATAATTTCCTAAATGTACTGTATTCTTTTAGCCTACTTGCCTTTGTTCCTGCTCTTTCCCTCACCTTCCCATTTCCCATCTGCTTTACAACCAGCTGGCTCACTTCCATAGCACCCCAAGCTAGGAGCTACTTGGCAGCAGGGACTAGTGGTCCTTCATCCTGAGTTCCTGTGCGGTAAGAGTAGAATGTGCCTTACTCATCTTTGTCACTGCTTCAACATGCAGCCCAGGAGAAGCACTCAAGTCTGGACTGTGGGCAGGAACTGAACCATGCCAATATGTACGTATACAAATACCTACGTCAACTATGTCTTAGGCATTGCTCAAATTTTCAGAGTTGCTTCCCCTCCAGATTGGTTGTGATTTTGTTCAGGAGCCAGATGCAACACTTGAACATCCAAGTGTTGTGGGCTATGCATAATTTAGGAGAGCAGAACTGGTAAGATATTCTGCAGCCCCATCTCTGTTATTCAGAGAACTCTGATAAATTCTTTTTAAAAAAATGTCCAGATACCTATTCCACAGAGCACTCATGGAGAAAATGGCCCCATTTGAGTCTTGAGTGATGGCTCAGCTATACAGAAAATATACCTACTCACAATTCCATGGTTCCAGAGGGCCCTGTTTCCTGTTACCTTAGAAGTCACTTGACTGCATCCTAATTCCTTATTTACTTCTTATCCCCCTACAGTGAGGCACCCCCCCAGAGCTCTAGCTTTCCAGCAACTACAAGCAGATTCTCAGTAAATATCTAATGACATATTGTTCAAAGCTATTTGCTGCCCACAGACCCGAATGGATGGACAGTGACCATATGGCAGCCTCTTCCCAGCAGGTGATTAGAAATATGACAGATCCTTCATCAGAAAAGTGACTTGTGAAGCCTGTCTTTAAAAAGGATGATTTGGACCAACTGGATTTCTTGCATGGAATTTTAAGATTAGGACATAGACATGGGGGTCAGAAGGAAACTGAAAGGTCACTAGCTAGGAGAGATATTGCTGATATTTTGGAGTCATGTGCAAATTTAATTGTAAGAGCAAAGAAAGCCAGCCATCAGTGAGGACATGGAAAAAGTGACAGGAGCCCATGTGGTGGTGGTAGTAGCTGCTAGGGGTCAGGGACATGGAGAGTGAGGAAGAGTGAGCATACAGCCTTGGCTACTGATGGTCCCAGATGCCATGAGGTCTGGCTATTACTGCATCTAAAGTCATACCATTAGACAATACAACCCCACCCTCACGGTGATTCTCAAATATTATAGAAACTACAATTCTACCTGGGAATGGACATCAAAGGGAAGTGTGTGGGCTTCACAGGAGGATCTCATAACCAAGGTCTTCTTTCCCAGTCCCTTATGCTCTGAATATTCTTTCTAGGTATTTCCCTAAGTAAACAGCAACCTTCCCCTTATTCAGAGTATGAGGCTTGGAGAAGATGGGCAAAGCACTGACACTGATCTTTTCCTCTCTAATGCACACATCCCCACCTGTCTCAGCATGTAGATCCTGGGGCTCCTTGACCTCACTCAAATATGAACTGATGGAGTTAGAATAGGCAAAGAAGGTGGAATGAAACACTGAAATAACTGCATCTTCAGAAACAGAATTTTAATAATGGGTCTTACACTTAGTTTCCTCCTTTCCCTTCTTGGTCCCCACCTGATCTTGAGAGATAAAGAGGGGAAGAAGAAAGGAGGCAGAGAGAAGAGATGCGTAGAAAACAGATGAAAATAATAAGACAGCAGCAAAATATGAGCTCAAAAGGAAGACAGGACAAGAGGGGGAGGAAGAAGTAAGGCCTAGGATGGATGAAATGACTCAAAATTGGTAAAATATTAACCACAAGGAGTCACACAGCCCAGAGAGATTGGACTGCCTAAGGTCTAAACAATGACCGTTCATAGCTACCTCCTTCCCTGCTGCCAACAGACATCTTCTAGATACTGATTTCTTTATTCCCAACTCTCACATTGGAAAGTTTCCATCCTCCTATTAAAAGGATTCCTGTAGCCTCTGCCTGTGCTACAAATCTGATTTTTCTACTTTGAGCTGTGTATCCAATCCTTCCTGCGGCTCCTGATTCTCCCATGTCTGTTTTCAGTTATAAACCACACCTTACATTATGCAAAAAATGGCAGATGGCTCAATTGGTCAATCAATACCATTCTCCATCACTTTTCTTTGCTTGCCCTCACTAGACAGACTGGAAGGGTAAATACTTCTAAGTCTCCCTTGTTGCTAGGGATGGTTATGTAACAGTTATAGTCAATGAGATGAACAGAACACTATGCTGAAAGGCTTCTGGGAAAACCTTTTCTGATAAAAGGTACCAACGTCTGGTGCTACCCGCCCCCTTTCTTCTTGTTTTGAATGCAGGCATTTTACCTGAAGCTATAGCCATCATGCAAACAGGATGGAAACCCCACTAAACTTAAGTTATTCAATTATTTTGTTTGAACTAATGCCAACCAACTCTAAACTTGTTATTTACTTAAATCCCTACTTGCTTAAGTAATTGTTGAGTGGGCTTTCAATGATCTGAACCCTCTCTCAACCCACTCTCAACCACCATCTCCCTCAGGTTATCTTTCACTTCTGGAGTAGATGGCATTACAAATGTATGCTACCGAACCTGGTAACTTTGCAACATTTAATTTGCTCTTCAACCCATTAAAATTTACAGAGGTTTAAATAATCTGTTTTAAATTGATAACCAAAAGCAAGTGACATATTTTTATCTGCAACATTTGGTAAGACTATTCATATTCCTCCATTAAAATTACCCTTTTACTTCTGCAGTACCACCACTTCCTGATTTTTGTTTCATTTTCTTTTTAGCTGTTCTTTCTCCTCAGCTTCTACTGATTGCTCTTTGCTCCACTTAACCACCAATGACAGCACTCCTAGAGTGCCTTTTATTACTGAGCTTTTATTTATTCTCAGGGATCTTCCCTGGATGTCCCACAAACTCATCAAAATGTCCTCAAATTGAACACGCCATTCCCCCACAAAATTAGCAAACTGTGCTTTTAATTATGGCATCTCAACACATTCAGATAAGAACTACAAAACATCCCAGACTCCCTTTTTTCTCATAGCCATATTTAACTAGTTACTAATTTGTCTAGATTCTGCCTCATTACTGTTTTGAATTCTCTTTTCTTCCCCATTCACACTGCCTTTTTCTTTGTATGGCTCTTGGAAAATAAAGAATGTATATTACTCATTTTGATTTTTTAATCATACCTAGAACATATTTAGGACTTGGTAAATATGTGTGAAATAAACAAAACTATCATAATGATAATAGTTATGATCAATAAATTATTCTTGTTCTGAGCATGTTTTGAGTTGCATGTTTTTATTAATATGCCAAATTTCCACATTTATGTTCAACTTCTCTCTCCTCCTTTCCACTGACAAATGACACAAAGATATGTATTTGATTCCAATGTACTTAAAGGCTGTATTTAAATTACATTGTTTTCCAAATAGCTTATTTAACAAACATTTAATGACTAGTAATTGAGAACTCAAAACATTGTACTACATTAAAATCTGTACAATTAATCTATCATCTTGTAGAAACTGGACTATATTTTTGGAGAGGAATTAATGCAAAAAGAAGGGGAAAGACACAGAAGGTAATAGGAGTTGGTAGAAGTAGAGAATGTTGACTCAAAACATCCAAGGACACCAGACTGTGGAGTAGAAGCATCTAGAAAACATATATAAGAGAGTAGAAGACCAAAGATTTCCCAACAGCTAGGTTAATAGAAATTTAGCTAATAGGGATACTGCAGACATTCTAAATCCAAAATCTGCCATTTAATAGATAAGGAAACTATGACCTGGTGACAATTGTTAACTTGTCCAAGTTGCAGTTAAGGACTATATACCAGGTCTTATGGCTCTCCCATTAAGTACTGTCACATTGTCTCTCAATTGTGAACTTTCTGATGTCCAAAGGGGAATCTGAAGTATGACACAAAAGAACTTATCTTCAGCATGACCCTTCATTGTTTATATATTAGCTATCCAAACCTTCTGATATAAACTAAGTTTTATCTTCTGAATCAAGATTTTTCCATTTTCATACAATTTGTCTGCTGTAGTCTGTATTATGTGATACGGTACATTGAACTTCAACTAAAACATTCCCACAACTGTTACGTTTATTGGGCATCTATATCAACATGAGTTATCTGATTATTACTGAAGAGTTAATCAGGATGAAGGGGCCCTCAGGTATGAGTCCTTTGATGTCTTGTAAGGTTTGTACTCCGACTGAAGGCTTTTCCGCATTCATTACACTGATAAGGTTTCTCTCCTGTGTGAGTCCTCTGGTGCACAGTAAGGGAAGAATTCTTAATGAAGGCTTTTCCACACTGCTCACATTCATAGGGCTTTTCACCAGTATGAATTCTTTGATGCTCAATGAGATATGCACTCTGGCTGAAGGTCTTTCCACATTCAGTGCATTCGTAAGGTTTCTCTCCAGTGTGAATAACCTGATGCACAGTAAGAGATGATCGTCCAGTGAAATGTTTCCCACATAACATGCATTCATAAGGTTTCTCTCCAGTATGAATTCTCCGATGTTGAGTAAGAGAGGAATTCTTACTGAAAGCTTTTCCACACTGATTACATTCAAACGGTTTTACTCCAGAGTGAAGTCTCTGATGTTCTATAAGGTATGTACTTTGGCTAAATGATTTCCCACATCTGTTACATTTGTAGGGTTTTTCTCCAGTGTGATTTCGCTGATGTAGAGTAAGAGTTGAGCTCTTACTAAAGGCTTTTCCACATTCACTGCACTCATAGGGTTTTTCTCCAGTGTGACTTCTCTGATGAACAATAAGATGCATGCTTTGACTGAAAGCTTTTCCACATTCATTACATTCATAGGGTTTTTCTCCTGTATGAGTTCTCTGATGGACAGTAAGATTCATGCTTTGTGTAAAAGCTTTCCCACAGTCATTACATTTGTAGGGTTTTTCTCCAGTATGAATCCTTTCATGTTGAATAAGAGATGAATTCTTACGGAAGGCTTTTCCACATTCTTTGCACTCATAGGGTTTCTCTCCAGTATGAGTTCTTTGATGAACAGTAAGGTTCATGCTCTGACTGAAGGCTTTTCCACACTCATTACATTTGTAGGGTTTCTCTCCAGTATGAATTCTTTGATGTACAGTGAGGGAGGAGCGTTCAATGAAGTGCTTGCCACATACATTGCACTTATAGGGTTTTTCCCCAGTATGAATCCTCTGGTGCTTAAGAAGGGATGAGCTCTGGCTGAAGATTTTCCTGCACTCATTACATTCATAAATTTTCTTTCTTACAAACATTCTTTGAGTTTTCATTAATTCAGATTTTTGTTTTGCATTGTTTCCATGTATATTCCAATTATGGAGCCTTTTCAACATAGGAATGCTTTGTGGTGTATCAAGGATAAAACCTTGACTGGAATATCTTTCAAATTCATCAGCACTACATACCTTCCTCTCAGTGAGGGTTTCTTCCTGGATAATTGCCACTTGGCCTGTATGTCTTTCCTGTTGCCCCGCTAACGAATTTTCAGGTTCACAGCTATCCCCTAAAGTTGAAGTCAAGACACATTCCTTTTCCATTATGATCCCATGGGATAAATCTTCAGGAATGCTGAGCTTTGAAGTTGACGCTTTGGTTTTAAGTCTTATCTCTGAGTCTGAAAAAAATTAAAAATTATATTGGTGTTTGTGCTTGGAGATTGAAAACTATATAAGGCAGGAATACGAGACTGGAACTAGAATAGCTACTGCCTAGTAGCTATTCCAGAGATTTCAAAGATATTGCTTTAATTATTTAGAAAAAACAGAAGGCAAAGAAAGTGAACCAATCCACAGAAAATGAGGGACTAGAAGGAAGGGATGGCAGGTCTGCTGGGAAAGTGGAGAAGCATGAGCTGATTCAGGAAGGATGTGCAGATAATAAGCTTGAAACTAAGGGAAAACATACATAAGAATGGGATTAGGAAAAGCAGATCAGAGAGCCTTACCACATCATATTGGTACTTCTACCAGCAGTCTCTTTCCTCTTGTCATGCTGCTTAGGATTCCACACCAAATTAACCTTTATAAAATGTCATAGTGTGACAGAGTGAAAAGATTGTTGGCCTAAAGTCATGCAAATGGGTTCAAACTGGATTTTAATGCCACCTTCATTATTTGGGTTTGGGTTTTTACAGACACAAAATAAGATAAAAGTAATCTGATAAAGAGTAAATAAGATCTGGCTTGAGATGAGTATGTCAACAGATTTAACACTGAATAACCCTGTGACAAACAATTCTGAAAAGAATTTAATGGTATTTTACATACTAATAAAAGCTGGAGGTTTTTTCCTAGAAAAAAAGAATGAATAAAATAATGTATATAAACTACTGTTAGGAAACATATCTGTCTGCAAAAGAAAGTTCCAGGATATACTTGAAACTTAAAACTCTTCAGGGAGCATGATACAATGTACAGGCATTTTTCACTTTAAACTTTAAGCAGACTATTATCAACTCACAGATGTGATAGAGTCCAAAAGGTCCTAATCTTTCCTAATTATCCTTTCTATGAAAATCAGAACTGCTGGTAGGGGTAGACAAGGGAGGATCTGTTGAAGCACTGGAGAAGGGGCTGAAGAGAAGAAAGGAACTTAGATTCACCTCGGCTTTATTTTCTCAGATTCCATTTCTTACCTCAGACAAAACGGCCTGGAGGTAAAAAGGAGAGAGGACAGAAAAATGCAATCAGGTATCAGGTTTAAAACTGCTGATCAAAATCAACAACAGAGTTTAATGCTAAACCAATGAACTAAAGGCTGTGCACAAAGACTTACTGTGAAGCAAGGGGTATGCACTAACCAGGTTTTTCCCTTCTAATCTGACCTACTTACAGAAAAAAGGGAACATCAAGCAGGCTCCACCTCCAAAAAACATCCCCCTACCAAGTTACCCCAGAGAGAAGATCTATCCAATAGAGCATAAAAATATCAGCAGGCAACATGAATTGGTGGCTGTCTTTTGTCTGGATATGTCTATGGGCATATCCAGCTATCCAAGCTCTTTGGGAATATTTAAATTGCTACCCATAATACAAAATAAAGAATAAAGAAGAATCTATTAGCACAGTTAGATGACAACAATGTCTAGAAAGAAAAGCCACCACTAAATGATAAATTATAGATAGAAAATGTTAAGTTTGGAAAGTATATGCAGGTTGAGGAAGTAAGTTTTTAAAACAATAACATGAGAAGAAAAGCATAAAAACCCAAAGGGAGAAAAAAACTGAGAAAATTAAATGGATTCAGTCATAGTCACCAAAAGACATAAATAAAGCTTACAAAAAATAGAAGCTACCTACTGGGAGAAGATTTTTGCAACACAGAACCCACAAAAAACTAGAAGCCCGACTGATAAAAGTGTCTACGAAATATTAACCCCCTAGAAAAATGGGTAAAAGGCTCAAATAAGCACTTCAGAAAAGGAACCACTAATGATTTATAAACATAAGCAAAGATGTCCAATGTCAACAGTAGCTAGGGGAAGGCAGATCAAAGTAGCAAGGGAATAGCATTAGCACATTCATCTGCATAACAATATAAAAATTCAGGCTGCGGATTTTGGAAAGATGTTCGATAAAGGGAATTTTCACACTACTTGTGTAAATGTAATTTGGCTTAATTATTAGAATAATAGTACAACCCAGAACAGATGCATAGACTATGATTCAGCAAATCAACAAGGTAAATTTACATTAGTAAAACTGTACACCAGGATTCATTATTTTTATTTATTTTAAAAATTATTCATTTATTCACATGTGCATACATTGTTTGGGTCATTTCTTCCCCCCTGCCTCCCTCCCCCTTCCCCCCCTCACTTCCAGGCAGAACCTTTTCTGCCCTTATCTCTAATTTTGTTGAAGAGAAGACATAAGCATAATAAGGAAGACAAAGCATTTTTGCTAGTTGAGTTAAGGAGAGCTATACAGAAATATTCCTAGCATTGCTTTCGTGTACACATGTGTTACAACCCATGTTGATTTATCTCTAACTGATCTTTACACTGGTTCTTGATCCCCTTCTCATGTTAACCTCTGTCGCTTTAAAGTTTCTGTATAGGATTCATTATTTTTAAAGTAGCATTGTGGACAATGGCAAAAACTGGAAACAACACATATGTCCACCAATGAAAAAAATGGAAAACTAAACTGTCAAATATTTATACACTGGGATAACTGACAAAATAAGCATAATGTACTAAAGTTACACATGTCAATATGAATGAGTAATACTTTAGGCAAAGACATAAAACATTTATATAATATTTCATGTAGATAAAGTTTCAAAACAGACTAAAAGTAAATATACGGTCTAGGTATCCATGGGCTATCTTTACATGGTGGTATTGGCAGCACAACAATCTGAATGTACTCAAATGTCTCTAAATTGTATGCAGACAATGGATAATTTGGTAAATTTTGTATTATATGAATTCAAATTATACGATTCAAATTAAATTTGAAACATGATTATGTGTGGGAACACTCTCCCACACATTAGAGTTAAAAAAAAAACACCTACATAATTCTGTTTTGACTATTTGGGAAAAGTCTATGTTTGGAAACTAATCAGTAAAAAAAATCCCCAGGGATCAAAGGAGAAATCACAACGGAAATAATGCATAATGTAGCCAAAGCAATGCTTAGAGGAAAATCTATAGCTTTAAATGTTGTTTTTTACCAAATATAAAGATGACCTATGGGTCAACATCTATAACCTAAGTTTCCACCTTAAGAAGTTAGATAAAGAAGGTGAGTGTGTTGCTCACACCAGTTATTTCAGCTATTTGGAAGGTGGAGGTTAGGAAGATAACAGCTTGAAGCCAGCTGGGGCAAAAAGTTAGTGGGATCACATGCCAGTGGTCCCAGCTACTAAGAGGCACAGAGAGAAGGATCACAGTCTGAGGCCAGCCCTGGCCAAAAACCATTAGATCTATCTGAAAAATAACTAAGCAAAACGGGCTGAAAGCATGGCTCAAGTGGCAGAGTACCTGCCTAGTGAGTATGAGGCCCTGAGTTCAAACCTCAGTACTGTTAAAAAAAAAATAAGTTAGACAATAAAGATCAAAATAAAATCAAAGTGGAGGATCCTGTTCAGATTAAGGTGGAGCAAGCACATTCCTCCCTCTCTCCTCCCAACTGAAAAGCTGAATGGAACATAATGTAGTTTTACCTGAGAGCTCTGAAAAGTAAATAGTAGTAGGAGGTGAGTTGGGGAAGGAGACCAAAATCCAAAGTACCACTGAACCACTGATGAGTTACCTTTGTTGTTTTTCTTTTCCTACATACTGAACTCAGCCAACAACCTGAAAATAGAAACCAAGGCAAGAGAAGAAGACAGGATAACTTGTCCAGGAAAAACTCTCTATACTTGGCTCAAGGAGCAGAAGGCTCGGGAATGTTCAGAGGGTATGGGAAACTGAATTTTTTTTTTCTCTTTTCTTCAGTTTTTTCTAACACAGAACCTAAGCAATCCTCTGGCAGCTTCAGTAGAATAGGAAACTGGGGTGATGGTACACTTTTGTAGTGCCAGCTACTCTGGAGGCAGAGGCAGAAGGATCACTTCAACATCAGGCTGAACAACTTAGGGAAACCCTACCACCAAAAACAAAAAAAAGAAAAAAAAAAAAACGTAACTGTAGGAGTCCCAAATCTTTGGGACCTGCCTCCCCAGTGAAGAATTTGTGGTCCCAGAGGGTGATGAGAAGCACCATTTCATCTTTCTTTGTCTTTCTGCTAACTGGCTCTGCATGTGGGTAGTCACGGAAAGCTACAGTAGAGTGGGGCAACTAAATAAAACTCCTGCATGAGCCCAGAGGCTGGAAAAGGAAGCAACAGGAAACCTGAAAGTACTGAGGAGACAGAGAGGAGCTTCTCCTAAAAGTTATTTATGAACTCCTGGCTGACCTATGAGCTGTGCAAGCATGAAACTGACCCCAAACAGCACACATGAACTTTGGAAACAGGAGGGACTACTGCCTAAGTTCCATAAGGTCAGATGTGTGGGGACAATCTTACAACAAAACTGACACTGAAACCACAACTCACAGAATATTGTTTGGATTTTGTACTCTGAACGCGTCTAGATCTGTTGCCTACTAAACAATTCCGTAGCACTTAAAGACTCAGAGTCCTGTAACACTATAGTATTACAGTTATAGTCCTATAATATCCAAGATTGTCCATAATACCGTTTGAAATCAATGACAAAACCAGTTACTAAGAAAATTTAATTTTCTTTG